TCATGCATTCCCTCTGACACACATAATTACGGATGCTTACACACATCTGGCCATCACACACACACACACACACGTTGCTCGCTCAGCTGTGACCCTAAGCCTCTGCGCTTACATTAGGTCACTGGATCACGGGGTCATTTGTAGGGTACGACTGTAGTGAGTCGCTCACACTAGGGCCTGTGCTCATCCCGGTGGAGATGCAGCAGTGTGTGTAAAGGTCTCTGCACACTGAGTCCGAATTTATCATCCGAAATGTTCGCACATTGAAAAATAAATACGACCTCACGTTGTGTCAATCACATTTACATACTGCCTCCGAAACCTTCGTCCGTCACATAAAAAAATTCGGACCAGGTTCGATTGTCTGCGTTTTCGCATCTGTAGCAAGCATTTTGATAGGAAAGGATGACGAATATGAAAAAAACTGAAAAACGCATACGAAAGTTTCAGACTCAGTGTGTAAGGACCTTAAGTCTGCTTTAATCCTCAGCTGCCAGCACACAGTCTGTAACCCACAGCTTTTCTCATTATGGCTAATCTAGCACGCTAACTTCAGCTTAAAGCCCCCTCTATTTATCTCACGGTATAGTGAACATGAGGTATGTGTATTATATTCCAGTCTAATGGGGTAACATTATATATTCTAGTGTAAATAATGTATATGCCATATTTTCTAGTGTATTTTAGGTATATATCACACTAAATGGGGTATGTATTTTAGTCTTTATCAAATATTCTAGTGTAAACAGGCTATATGTTATATACCGTTGACTAAATGGGCTGTGTACCATATATTTTAGTGTTTTTGAGGTGTATGTTTGAAATATTCTAGTGAAAATAGTGTATATATTAATATGTATTCTTGCCTTAATTAGCTATATATATTTTAGTGTATTTCATGTATATTTCAAATATTGGTTAAAATTATGTATATATCATATTCTAGTGTACATGAGGTATATATCACATATTGTACATTAAATAGGCCATATATTTCAGCATATATTGAATATTCTGGTGTAAACGGTACATATTATATATTAATTAAATGTGCTTTATACTATATAGTTTAGTGTTTTTGAGGTATATATATCAACTATCATGTATTAATTCAATATATCATGTATTCTTGCTTTATCAGAGATTAGCGTATTCATGGTATATTTCAGGGATCCTCAAATCTGGCCCACGAGATCCACTTTCCTGTAGAGTTTAGCTCTAACCCTAATCAAACACACCTGAGCATGCTAATCAATGTCTTCAGGATCATTAGAAAATCACAGGCAAGTAAGTTTTGCCCCTCCAGGGCAAGATTTGAGGAACCCTGGTATATTTAGTGAAAAAGGGATATATGTCATACATTGTAGTGTATACTGTATATTATTGAAAGTATATATCATATATATATATATATATATATATATATATATATATCTTTATCTGATGTATAATTATATAACTTATATGTAGCATACACAATAATGTGTTTTATATGTCATATTCTAGTATTTTGTATTTAAGGTATATATCATGTTCAAGTGTATATCATATTCATATTCTAGTGTAAGTGGGGTGTTTATATTTAATATAGCTTATGTTTCAAGTCAAAGTGATCTGTAGATGAAGTTTAGTTCCCCTTGATGAAGAAGTTAGTGGAAATTGGCAAATTAGGTCACTATGCACTTTATTTTGAGTAGCCAGTTGTTTTAGTCCGAGATTCATTGGCACACATTTATAAAACTTAATAACATCCAGCTACTAGAAAAGTTTCTAATCAAGGTTTTAAAAATATAAAAGTGAACTCTGAATATCTAAGGATTCGAACCCTGAGGTTTCACAAATGTTCATTTCTGTTAAATCTACCTCCAATCATTTACTATTAGTTCACTGTAAACATAATACTACTCTTTATAGAAGCATTTGTGTTACGAGTGCTGTCGATACAGTCATTCCAAAAGAACAAAATGAAACATTAGTAATATTAGTCTGGAGTCTTGAATCCGGCTGTGTTTTGTGCTTCTCTGTCTCCAGCCTTTAAATGAACCCACACACACATTTTAGGCTCAAGACTGCAGTATTTCTCTTTCAGTTGTTCTTGGGTGGTCAGAGCTGACAGACACGCTACACACTCTGCTGATGGATTATAACCACACACACACACACACACACAGTACAGTGCACAGTCTACACACACCCACACGCTTCTGTGTTTGTAACTAACTTTGACAGGTGAAATAGTTAACGGACTACAGTCACGCTTTAGAGTGAACTATATTAAACATCAAACGCTGCACACATGAAATATTCACCCACATGTTGTGCAGTGCAGGTTTTGACATAAAGGTTGCCTGCTACCTCTTGTTAGTTTTTAGAGGCCACGTGGAGGGAGGGATCATAGACGGATGCAACATTTGGATAAGTAATGTAGGCTGCAACCCTGAAAATATTAAGAATGCAAATGCATAATGCAGTTTATTTCCTTACATATAGCATCCTATACCCTTCGATCTGCAGATGCCCTCTATTTATTTATATAGTTTTGTAAAGTCCGCTGCTTTATGATTTTATTTATTTCCTTGGTTCTCCTGTAAGCTGCAGCTTTTATCTTCTTTATACTTAATTTCCCAGACTTCATACGACAGACTCTTTCATTTTTTATTTAGTTTTCACAAGTGACACGTTTCCTTTGAAAATGGTAAGTAGTGTGAACGTTGTCCTGGTAATGGCAAGAGATCAGCTCTCTTTGAGTGAATGTAAATATTTAATTTGCAAGAAGTTTACGCTTTTAAGTATTCCAGATTTGGGGTTTACCTTCCTGCTTACCTTCTTAGATTTTTGTACCAGAACAAAACTGTCAGCATCAGCGTTCCCTACTAAAGAGCATGTGTTGTGTTTTGAATATGAACTCAACCTGTAAAAAAGGACAAATTGTGTATTTTTTTTTATTAATTGCAAGCCCAGATCTGAAGCTATATATGACGAACTGAGCGAAACCCAACGGTTAAATCCCCTTGAGTTCACTAGCATGGGCTGATGGTGCTCTGGTTTCCTTGCAAGGCTTCTTAACTAGCTTTACCAGCAAGACGCCTTTAGTAAACCAACTTCAGAAGACCCATGCTGGTCGTCAGGTTTTGCTACAGAGAGGCATGGCTATGTTGACCATGAAAATTTACGTAATTTGCTCACCCTCATGTTGTTCCAAACCCATATGCTGGTTTTTTTATGCCAGAGAATTTTAAAACCCTAAACACATCCGTCAAGCTCCAGAAAGGGCAAAAAATATCATTAAAACACCATAAGACTTATATTTCAGTATATCTATGACTGTATATTTCCTTACAACTATATTTCAAGTCTTCTGAAATCATATGACAGCTTTGTGATGAACAGATGAAAGTTCATTAAAAAAAAGACATTATTCTCTGAAAATCTTCTTCTTTTTCCACAACTGTCAAATCATATATGGTGCCATAAATGGGGCATGATTTTCATTTAAATTGCCATATGACTTATCTGAAGTCAAAAATGAAGTTATCATAAAGTCATGAATTCAGATGTCTTGAAATAACATTGATGGAATTGTTGAAGCTCGACAGCTGTGGTTACTTTAAACTGTCCTTTTATCAAAATTTCTTGTTTTGTATTTTCAGTGGGAAAAAAATTACAATATAGTTATACTCTTAAAAATAAAGGTTCTTTGTTGGCATCTGTGATTCCTTGAAAAACCTTTAAAATCCATGTATCATTTTCATTGGTCAAAAGGTTCTTTAGAGTGGAAAAGGTTTTAAAATGTTCTTTACTCTATAAAAAATGGTTCTTTTAAGAACTGTTCACCGAAAGGTTCTTTGGGGAACCAAACATGGTTCTTCTGTGGCATTGCTGCGAAAACCCTCTTTTGGAACCTTAATCCTTAAGAGTGTATGAAACAACATTATGGTGGGTGAATAATGAAAGATCTCTAATCTCTAACTGTTCCTAGCCTCACTAGTTCCTTCATTATCTATGGCAGTGGTCACCAACCTTTTTAAGTCCAAGATCCCTGACCTCAGCCTTTATAAAAGACAAGATCTACCTACTGAAGAATTGATACAAAAAGGCAGCCCAGATTGTAATCCAATTTTATTTAGTATTTAATTAGTGATGCACCTGTCATGATTTTTCATGGCCGAGTCAGAATGGTTTTTTTTTTTTTTTTTTTACTAGCAAATTTATTTGTTGGTTATTTAAAAATATCTGAAGGCATTTGAAATTAGAGGCAACCACTGCGTTTCAGTCATGATCCAAACAAAGATGCTACACACGTTGCATGAGCAGTTGTTTTTTATTAGATTTACAGGATTTAAAGCAAAAACAGAACGGTCTGACTTTAGCGTTGTAAAATTATGCTACATAAAAACATCTGCATGAAATAGAAACAGCAGAAAGTCTGAATGAGATGCAGTTTCACTCTCTGACAGCAGGTGGCGCTTATGGAACAGCAGCCATACAGCATTTCCTTGGTTACTGCTGTAAACAAAGCAACTGCACTTATAAATACTACTTTACATGGAGGTAAGAGGAGAAGAAAATGCCATTGACATCTAAACTTTTCTCACGACAGTCAATTCCCTTCAGTGATACATTCATAGTATAACCCCTCACCCTCAATTAAATATTTATATTTTCTTCCAATATTTCAAGCAACATGAACAGTGATCTTGCTCTGCCTGCTACAGTATTTTCTCCGCTTTGCATCCGTCTTCAGCGTATCTGGCCTCAGTTAACGTCCTGTTTTCAGACTCAGGCATGATGTATTTTTCTTTGTCACTGTCCCAGTAGCTCCCAAAAAAATACAGAAAAATAAGTGCAAAAAAATACAGTACAAAAAGCGCACTAATGTAATGTATTTTGTACTTATTTTTAATTTATTTTCAGGATCTACTGGGATATTGATGAAGATCTACCAGTCGATCGCGATTGACAGATTGGCGACCACTGATCTATGGTATTGTTTTTTCCAGGAGGATGCCCATGGAGGACTACCCGAACCAGAGAGACCCTGTCCACTACCCCAACCCCATCTACGAGACCCATCAAGACAACTATCCTCCACGCTCTCCCCGGTTGCCTGTACCCAGACCCACGGAGGCCACGGGTGGTTACTACCCCTCATCTCCAGCCCAACAGAGGGGTCCCATGAGGCAGCATGTCCCTCCTTCTTTGAACCCAGGTGCCAAAGCCCCACCTCAATACGAAACGCTAAAACAAGGGAACTATCGGGCGGCCAGTCCTGATCATTACGGGGCATACGGAGATGAACAATACCAAGATCCCCGGCAGAAAAAACCAATGATTGGAGCCGTCTAGAGGAGGAGGAAGTAGGTTTGTACTGAAAAAGTTAAGTGATTATATAATTTTGTCCATTTAAAAAGACATTAAAGGAACAATCTAATTAGTTTTCTTAGACTTATGAGAAAAAAAAAGGCAAATACAGTTGGCTTGACATAGCCATTGATTATTCTATAGTGAACTATTGAAGTAAAATTAGTTTTTTTGTTTTGGACGTCAGCTTTTTTTCCTCTTAATTAGTATCAGTTCTGAACAGCAAATGAGTTTTACGCCAGTTGAGTCGGTTAAGTTTGAAGGAAGCACATAGGGTTTGTATATATGTTCGTTTTGCATGAATTTAATTCATGATGCCACACAAATGTGTATATGATGGTGTGCCGTGGTAAGTATGGCCACTTCATCCCCTCATGATTATGTATTGTTTTGTTGATGACATGATTGGTAGTCGCTTATTAACCTAAAATGTCAGATTTTCTCAGAGCATTGTTTGTTTATATATTGGGTGCCTTGTGCTCGCTTGGGTGCGAAGTTTTTAAATGTAAAAAAATTCACCATTTAGTTTACTTTTTGTGGTTATAAGAAATTTTATTTTTTTCCTTTGCAGTGACTCCTAAAAGACTCCACTTACTCTGTTTTTGTTGTTTTCAGTCCTAAAGTGTTTTTCATTGCTATGTTTTGAGGATAATATTCTCTTTCAACGACCTCTCTCCTTGATTCATTTTAGTAAAGCTGTTCCGAGGCCCAAAAACAACAAAACGGGCAAGGTTACACAAATAGCTGATCCGATATCAAAGTCTCAATCCGTTTTGGCTTTTGTTGTCAAGCCTTTTCTTTTATCTTAGGTCAAGGTTTTTACATTCCTGGCATTTGTTTTCCCATTCAGCCATTCTATCGTAGTGCTGCATGAAATACTGCCCCCTAGGTGCAATACACAATGCTCTCTGCACAGGGCTCTTGTAGTGCATAATCGTTGTTGTTGGATCATTGCTTTAAAGTGCACCTATTATGCCCCTTTTTACAAGATGTAATATTAATCTTGAGTGTCCCCAGAATGTGTATGGGAAGTTTCAGCTCAAAATACCCCACAGATCATTTATTATAAAATGTGGAAAATGTTTTTTTGGGGGCATGTCTAAAAAAGAGCTGTTTTTGGTGTGTATCACTTTAAATGCAAAAGAGCTGCATATTTCCAGCCCGTCTTCAGAAGAGAGCATGGTGTATACATCTCTGCTTTGCGTACATACAGCAATAAACAGTCGGTAGAAGCAACATGACTGAGAGCGAGAGAACCGGTGTTCAGCCGTACATGTATGAACCAGAGTCAGACACAGATGAAGAAGAGACTCCGGCAGAATGAATTGACACACACAAATACGGTTAAAATGTTAGCTAAGCACTATAATGACATGATTTTGAGGCGCATTACCCTTAAAAAGGTAATAGGTGCCCTTTAAAAACGAGACTTCCTGATATCCTTGGTTTGTAAAATGATCTGTTTGTTGTAGTTAGGAGATATGTTGCCAGTCAAAACAGGATCCTGCAAGAACCAACTTAGAAAACGAACTTAATTAATTTTTGCACCCACTTTGTTTTTTTGCACATTTAACGCCTGAATGAAGAGGTTTACAGGAAAATGGCCAGATAGATACTGAAGATACTGAGAATACATGAAGTTTTGTTGATTTTACTGGTAAGATTTTACGTTATACACATGTTACTCTTTACAGTACTTATGGATAATCAGTCGGTGTTCAACCTTGTGTCCGTCTTGTCATTGAAAAGTTGATTTTTAATTTCTATATTTTCATATCACATTTTTCATTTAATGTTTATGGAAAATCTACTATCTTTGTGTTGATTTTTATTTTACTTGGATTTTATTTGTATGTTTTTATTTAATCGTTTTATACTTGTTTTTCTGTATCCTTTTTTTGTCAATTTATTTTGAAATTTAACAAAAGAGACCAAATACTGTGCAATTTTACTTATTTAGCCATTTGTACATTTAAATTAGTTTTTTTTGTTTTTTTTTGCTCTTTTTGTTTGTTTATTTGTTTTTTGCTCTTATATTTTTATGAAAATCAAGATGCTGGTCTGCATAACTTGTGAAATCAAATAACATGCATAACAATACAATTTGTGGTGTTGTTTTTATTTTTAAAGTTGGGCAAATGTTGTATTAAATGGAAAGAAGTGTGTGTTGCCACTACACACGCCATAACCAACAATTCATCTAGATGTTATAGGCCTACATTTTTGGGGTAAATAATATGGCTATGACATTAATTCAGATTGATTATGACATTTTGGTACTTTTTTTTTTATTTTAAACAAAATTGTGTACGTTATTTTTGTAAATAAAGTGGTGTTTTGGTTAATGATATGTTGATGATGACTTCAGTGATGGCGTCCCACAGTAAAGCTGTTTGGTATTCATTGTGCTCTTGTACAGTCTCATAACTTCATACTCCTAATGATGACTGAGAGAACCTCTTATTTAACATTACTGATAATTACTCCTGCTGATTAGTACTAATTTATCCTCTACCAATTAAGCTACAGAGGGCTGCACTGAAGTTATTAGGGCCTAATGGACCTATTTGGGAATTCTCGCTGATTGGGAAATTTGGCATTAAAGTGTTTGCATATATCTGGACAGAATTTCAGTTTAATTAACCCATGGATGACAAGAGAGAGAGATGTTAGGTGGGAATAAATGAATTGTGAGAGCACTGTCGAACAAAAGGTTGATAAAAAATGAAAAGAGAGATAATAATTGTGATGTCAGTTTAATCTTCATTATTTAGGAAGAAGACCACCACTCATGGATATTATGAGCCACAGTACATTTTAAAAAGGCCTTATCGTGAACAGTATTTTCTTGCTCCTTTAAAATATACTTTGTATTAATATACTGTGTAGACTTGTGCTAAATCATTGTAAAATGTATAAGAAACTAGTATTTGTTTTGCAGGCCTGATTATCAAAAGAAACGTTTTTTTTTCAGTGCATTGAATGTATTATATTTTAGTTTGATCATTTTCATTTAATATTTTGCATTTTTAGGGGATTTTATGGTACTATCTCGTATCTTTCCTCTCATATATAGTTAGATATATGATTATAGTATTTTTTTCCTGTTTTCATTTTAAATGTAACGTTTTAGTAACATTTTTCATTTTTGTTCGTTTTTGTTTTTATTTAAATGTCTATTTTTATTAAGTTAAACATTAACTAAAAATAAACTAAAAATTACAGTATACAATATGCATGTATATATATATATATATATATATATATATATATATA